TCCATGCTTTTATGTTGTTAATGCCAAATTCTGACCCTACCATCTAGACTCATCAGGCCAGGCAATGTTTTTCCAATCCTCTATTGTCCAATTTTTGTGAGCCTGTGTGAATTGTAGCCTCAGTTCCTGTTCTCAACTGACAGGAGTGGCACCCGGTGTGGTCTTCTGCTGCAGTAGCCCATACGCCTCAAAATTGGACGTGTTTTGGGTTCAGAAATGCTCTTCTGCATACCTCAGTTGTAACAAGGGGCTATTTGAGTTACTGTTGCCTTTCTATTAGCTTAAACCAGTCTGGCCATTCTCCTCTGACCTCTTGCATCAACGAGGCATTTGCGCCCAAAGAACTGCCACTCACTGGATATTTTCTCTTTTTGGACCATTCTGTGTACACTCTAGAGATGATTGTGCGTGAAAATGCCAGTAGATCAGCAGTTTCTGAAATACTCTAAATTAGACTTGTTGACAATAGCTTTCATTCAAAAACATAAAACTGACCTAAAACTTTTGAAGAGCAGTGCAATTTTCAAATTCATAGCCTTTTATATCTGTTAATTTGGGGGAAAGAACTAAATACAGCACCTCCAATGTTGTGATTGCATTTCAGGGCTGCTAAGTTTCAACTGATAAATGCGGTAATCCTGGTATTAGTAGAGATATAAGGATCTGCACCAGCATTTAAGGTTAATGGCAGCAGTGACAGAAGCATAAAAAGAAATGAAAGTCGACTCCAGATGCTTAAGACACTGATCAAAACCTCTAATGAAAGAACGTGAACTTCCTTAATCGCAACTATCCCTCATCTGACACAAGTGTTTTGTCTTGCCCTAAGCCGGGCAGATCTTCGAGACCTCGGCTGAATGCCTCACAGATTGCAAATCTAACTCTCTGTGCCGCAGAATTAACCAGCCTCCACACTAATTTCTAATCCCGGTTGAGGTTGATTGACAGCGGTGGCAGACTACGAAATGGCCTGGTACCGTCATTACGAGCACTTTTTTTCTGTGTGAGAGTTTGGGATTATTTAAGATTACTGTTTAATGCCTTTTTAATCTCTCCTGCAGAAAAAAAAAAGATTTCTGGGCAAAATACTGGACAGCGAGTACAGTGGTAGTGATAAGATATTATAAGTGTGCGATGAGATCTGAAAAAAAAATAGCCTTTTTATCCTCGCTTTGCCTCATTACGAGAGCTAACTCTGCTATCAATTTATTGATAAGCGGTTGACGCATACGAAACACCAGCCGAAAAGATTATCTTGCTTTAGATAAGTCCTAATGAAAAGTCCATCCACAACAATGACTGGACAGAAATGTCAGGAAATGCTTTTGAATGTTTAAGAAATCGGCATCCAGTCGCTGGTGCGCAGAAATGAGAGAGGATATTTTCTCTTGAAGGTTTTTAGGAGGTATGACACCAGCTTCAATTGACAATGAGAAGTCCTCATGAAAACCCTAGACATTAAGCCTACTGAGCAATTGGGTTTCTCTGTAGATGGTCCAATCCCTTTATAAATGTATTGAGCAACTTGGCTAAGCTGCGATCTTAAACTTTGAGTTAAAAAAGAGGTTAGATCATCAGAGATGAAGCAAATTAAAAGGTGAAACCTTATGACTCAAGATTAAGAGTGATGGCACTCCTAGCAAATCTTCGCTATGTACACTGTAAAAAACGTCTATAAATTAGCAGTTTTCCGTATTTTGTGATTAATGTTTTTAATTATTATCACATTTATTTATGCTTTTGAATTGCATTATGAGACCTTCTAAAAACGTTTAACCTCGAAAAGTCCTAAAAAGGGATTTCTATAAACATTTCTAATAGTTTAAAGTGATATATTGTCGGGGTTGGTGTTGTACTGTATACTACGATACAAAAACCTTGTAAAAACTGCCAGTAAATTTTCTGTTATTTTACAGACTTATTTCTATATATTATTTTTTATACATTATGTTTTCAAACTTCGAAAATGTCAATAAAAACATTTTGTTAAACTGTTGAGTTGAATTTTCAACATTAAAAGTCAACAGAGCAGAGATTAACCCCCCATAATGCAATTCACAACCCTAAATAAACAGAAAACACTTGTAAATCAAAAATACGGAAATTAATTAACAATTAAAAGATTTTTTATAGTATAAGATTTTTAGAATAATAAGTCAGTATTATTTAGCCACTAGGGGTGTAAAAGCACACAAAAAAGTATGTATCTGTACCAAAAAAAATGCTAACATGTTTTGGTTTTAATGTTTGTGCTCCAATTCTAATCCCCTCTGTCTGTTTGACACACACAAGCACCAGTGTTTGTTCACTGAAGTCTGAGAAGTTAAATGAAGTCAGGATAATCCTTTATGCAAAATGGAAATAAAGTGTTTGAATTTGTCACATTTGCAGGTTACTATAAAGTTTTGTGCTGAGGAAAACACATCTCTAACACATTTTTTAAAATACTTAATTCATGGATAACACTTTAACAGAAAATTGATCATAGCTTGTCATTCAAACTGGTGTTTTTCTGTTGATTTCCACTTTCAAATTGCATTATGATACTTTGATACAAATGTAACTGCAGTTTAACAATCTACTTTCAATAAACTATTTTTATTGATATTAATATATTTTGTTGTCTGAAGCAATGTATTGTCTGGTCATATAAGCCATTATACAAAAATGAGCGATCATCTGCCAGTATTATTTTACAGACGTCTTTCTTAAAATGGAGGACAGATTTTGACTTAGTTTGAAGGATCTCATTTAAAGCATGTCTCATGATTTAGATAACTTGTATTGTTCACTTATCCAGCAGCTCACTCTGTGTACTTTGATATTTTTCAGATGAACTCACAACAAACCTGCTGATAGTGTATATAAACAGCATTGCCAACTAATTTTCAAGGATAAGTTGCTAAAGGCAGAATCACGTCGCAAAGCCATTAACATTTCACAGATGTTTTCATTCATTTATTCGTTTTCTTTTCAGCTTAATCCCTTTATTCATCAGGGGTCGCTACAGCGGAATGAATCACCAACTTATACAACATATGTTTTACGCAGCAGATGCCCTTCCAGCCACAACCCAACACTGGGAAGCACCCATACACTCTTGCATTCACACACATAAACTACAACTGATTTACCTTATTCAAATCACCTTTAGTGCATGTCTTTGGACAAAGGAAACCCATGGAACGAGGAAAACATGCAAACTCCACATAAAAATGCCAACTAACCCAGCTCAGGCTCAAACCAGCGACTTCCTTGCTGTGAGGCGATCATGCTACCCACTGTGCCACTGTGACGCCCCTTCACAGATATTTTAACTGTATTTTTAATTATGAATTATGCTGTGTGGTATGTATATATTGCAGTTAGGTAATTTATATATATATATATATATATATAAAACCTAACAACTGCATCTAGCACCAGAACTCACATGCTTTGAAAAGCTAGGCACATCTCTCTCCAACTTTCTCCAGGCTTATGTTTTGCTTGGCCAGTTAGCGGTTCAGTGTTTTCTATTTGTGTAATTTTGAGCTGGAAAAAAACCTTTTAGTCATTTGAGTCTCTTTTTAAAAGTTTCTCAAAGTTGGCACATTTTTTTAACCTAGGCAATTAAAAAAAGCTAATCTTTCTATGGATAAAAGCAATATTGTCTCATCCTTGTGAGGAAACACAAATTTGGAAACTATGCATAGCTGTTTTACACATCTGTGTTTAAAACTGCATTTCTTTACAACAAAGTTCATTCCTACTCTTGCATATTAAACCCAAAAACCTGGGCTCTGTTCTTTGTATGTGGATTACTCAATTAGCTGGATTTGGTTGTTGACGATTTGACAAAATCCAGGATCGTTTTGTTCTTCAAAATTAATCCGAGAGTTGTTGTAGCAACAGTGATGGTAGCTCAAACCTGCTTAGGAGCAGGCTTATTTCATATAAACAGAATTAGATCGGGTCTTTTCAAACAAAGGTAATACTCTAAGTATGTACCGAATTCTGATATTTTCTTACAGTAGTAGTTGTATACACTTGGGAAAATAGTAAAAAAAAAAAAAAATCATGTATACATGAAAAAAGTTTTAAAAATATATAAATAAAACTTATGCAATCAGCATAAAATAAAAAAATAAAAGTACAAATACTCTTATGGGGTGGTTTTTCCTGAACGGGTTCAAAGAGAACATTTATTAACATGGACATTTTAGACACAATCGCGCACTATTTTAAGGTACCAGCTTTAGTACAATTTGTGTATAATAATAGACACGCACAATATGCAACAGTCTTTGTTTTTAGTGAAATAATAATTTATATAGTCATGCATGTTTTGACAGCTAATATGCCGGTGATTTGATGCTTCGCACAAGTTGCAGACACCTTTATCAATATCAAAATGTCTTTTTGATGCAAAATTCATTTAAATAGCCAGTTATTCTTTGCACCAATGAAGAAACTGGAATAGGCCTAGGCTACTATAAATAAACTGCTAAGTACTCTTGACACATGAAAGTGTAAGCCCTGCAGCCCACAACAAAGTTGGAAAGTTATTGTGTATCATATTTAACAAATAATGTACTACAAATGTTATGTAATTTTCCTCCCATGGATAATAGAATATTAATCAGATGATGTCATTACACTGCTGTGCCGTCAGCCAATCGTTGCATCACTGATCATGATGTTGAGGATTGATAGATCAGTCCTTCACAACACAAGCAATGGTCTCAGATCAGTTTATCCAGACATTTTAATCTGATTTGTGAACTTGTTTGAAGAACCAAATTAGCCAGAGATCACTTATAAAGATTAAAAGATCCAGGATCTGCCAAATCATCTTAGATCATTTAAGTGAGATACAAAGGACAGAACCCTGTACTGAACATTTTCAATACATGTGTGTAGCTATTGATATTCTAGTTACTGATATATTGCAATTTCTTCCTTGCTCTAACGGATGAAAAAAACAGATGAAATATTGAACTTGTGTCATTGCATCCTACCTGAATCACATTCTTTCGGCTTGATTTCTCTGTCGTCCACTCAATTACAGCCCCATTCAGATCCACACCATCTGGTTTACCACCTGGTTTCTGGAGAGAAAGTACAATTAGATGAGCATGTTTGCCAAGACACTAAATAAAAACAACACATTTCTCATGTCTTATGTGACTCAAGCAATTGACGAACATGATGTTTTGAAACCAACTTTAAAATCAAACAATTCATAAAACTTACATGACATTTGTCAGGAGATTTTCACATTTATATTTAGATCTGCTTTGTACATGTGCAGCAAGATTAATAAAACAGCTCTATGTCAGGCTCATAAACTAGAGGGTCATTTCATACAATGCTACGATTTTAATGAGGTGGCAAAGATACTTAACTTCATCCTGATAACCTCTGTGTCTGTTGCCCTCAGAAATGGCAGAGAGCTCGAGGGCTTTATGACCACTTGACCATGAGTGATGCTGAAACTAATATGAGCGGACCCCATCGATGGCCCTGACATGCCATTTTTTGCAAGCATGTGAAGGTAGCAAAGCTCTTTTCATCTGTAACGCATTCTCAATCACTGCCACATGCAGCTCAAAACAGCAGAAAAATTATATAGCCGTAAAGTACCATGCATTATGGGTAGATATTCCCTTTTTTCGGCAGTGTTTTAAATAGTCGGGATCAAAGGCAAAGTTTAAAAGTGAGACAAATATGGAAATCATTACGCTTCCCCACCCAGTCGCTAACAGTTATGCTGTTTAATGCACATCTGTAGCTGTTCATTAGGTTCTGCTGTTTATTTTACATTTCATTTTTTTTTTTTTTTACACATTAGCCTATTCATTTATTTGTTTTACTATATGAAGGTAGAATTATAACACAAATATGTACTTTTTACATACATGGTGTAGTTTGTTGGTTGACTTACCAAATTTGACACAGCTTCTTGTTTGCTCTCTTTATAAAACAATAGTTGATTGGAGCTAAGAACAACCCAGGTTAAAGTCCAGTTTTTCCTGCAAAAATAAAAGAGGCTATGTTAACTGTTTAGATAGATAGATAGATAGATAGATAGATAGATAGATAGATAGATAGATAGATAGATAGATAGATAGATAGATAGATAGATAGATAGATAGATAGATAGATACGTACGTACGTACGTACGTACATACAACATACATACATACATACATACATACATACATACATACATACATACATACATACATACATACATATATATATATATATATATATATATATATATATATATATATATATATATATATATATATATATATATACATATATACATACTCGATTCAGCTTCTGTCAGGTCTTTCAACCATGTAGTATTGTGATGTCTTACATTTAAAGTATTTTATAAATACTCAAATAACAGTTAGTATTTTGGATATAAACCCACGTCTATTTGAGCAATTAAAATAGAGTAACTCACCTCAACTTGGTGCTTCAAATGGCTGCTTCAAGTACGTCGTTACACCAATAGGTGGCGATACGCAACCATTAAAATATATATACCCAACTGATTCATTCATTCAGATTCATCCAGTAATAAAACACGATTTTAAGAGCGAGTCATTGAATTGTTCATTCATACTGAGCTTTAAATATTGAAGTTAATACGGCTCTGGAGAAAATTAAGCGACCATTTTATTATTGGTTCTATAGATTTTTTATTGTGTTTTGATTCAATTCAATTCAAGTTTATTTATATAGCACTTTTAAAATGTAGATTGTGTCAAAGCTTCTAAACATAGAAGTTCTAGTCCAGATTTCAGAGTTGAAGTTCAGTTTACTTCAGTTCAGTGTGCTTTGAATTTTACTGCTGAAACACTTAAGAGCAAATCCATCGATGCGCAGCTCCAGTAATGTAGTAAAAAAACTTAGTTTGTATTTTATTTCATAAACTACATATAATGTCTTCAGAGTCACCACAAAATGGTGTCATTTAGAGCAATTATTTAGCAGAAAATGACAAAAGGCCAGTATAAGATATTCCATGTTTCAGAACTTATTGGGGGTAAAACATGTAGGCTACATATTTTACACACACTCATATATGTAATTATGTATAATTACATGTTTATTTATGTATAATTACATATGTATAGCATTTTATTATAAAAAAAAAAAACAATGTGATCACCAGTATATCCAGAAGCAGCTCTATTAGATATACAGATAGACAGACAGACAGTCAGATAGACGAACCGTAATTTCTTTCCTCCTTCAGCAATTTTGGCTTTGTTCAAATATTCCCCTTTTAAAACAGGCTGTAACAAAAACGAAAACACAATGACAAAAATAAATTAATAAATTAAAACAAACTGGTTAATTTGTGCATTTTATTTGATTAATAAGTTATTTTTTCTTCTTGATAATTTCAGTTTAGATTTGTGTTGTCCAAAACAATCTTAATATTGCTAATTTCCAAAAACACAACTGGATCATACCTGCAACCCAACAGAAACTTCACTGTTATGCTGAGACTGATTCCTCCGGTGACGGTTGATCTAAAATAGAGAATGTGGTGTTAAGTAAGTATATTTCCAAATATATCTAATAATACATTTAATTCAATCACAATCCTGCTCAAATTGTTTATTGCAAGGTTTATTTTCAGTTTGGCAAGACACTGCAGGTATATTAAAAAATGTATTTAAAATATGTATCACCATTATTACAGATTAGTGATTATGTTACGAATTGTTTTGTACATAAAATGTACATTAAGAACATTCAAAGGTTTTCTAAAATGCTGTGTTTAAATGTGCAGATGAGTTATTATTTCTGTAACTATGCACTAATTTGCACACATTTATATCACAAAAATCTCATTATTTGTTGAAGTCAGGTTTACAGTTTTAAATTTAGACACTGGAGTGAAGGGTTTTTACTGTTTTATCACTCCACAATTCATAAACAATTGAAAATATCTTATTTTTTTATAAATATTTTGTATGCAATCAGGCAAATTAGGTATCCATTATCCATATCTCTCTGTAAAAACCTTCACAAAGATATAAATAAAACTGTGATGCTTCATGTATGTAAAAGCTGCATTAAAATTTATGAATGCAAGAGGAAGGAGGAAAAAAAGAGTATTTTTAAGAAAATAGCTTAATATGTATTGTCATTAAAACAGACATAGGCTGATTAAATTAGACTAAAAAGCCCCAAAATCTCAATATTGAAAAGTACTGCATGAAAAAAACTGTATTTTGCCTCCCGTGTCTCCCCTTGATTTTCATAAATGTACAGCAAATGTACAACACCAAATTTTCATCACAGTAAAAAGTGAAACAGAAGCGGAGGATATTTAATGTTTGGATAGAAACGGTGGGAGGCTGAGAGCAATAAATGCAGTGCTGTTCTGCCCTCTGCTGTTCTCTGTCTGGGTGTTTCTTAAAACAGCCAATGCAACAGGAAGCTTCCGGTTAGGTGTTGAATGTGAAGATGTAGTCATGCACACTCATACATACTGATTTCCTGAATGAGCAGAGATTGTGAAGGAGTGTGATTGTGCTGATGCTCACGGGTTTCTGTAGTGTTTCGGCCTCTGGCAGGACCATAGATTTGGTCTGGCTGAGTCTTTCTCCAGTGCTGCTCTGAGAGTTCTTGATTCTCAGCTGAACAGCTCCAGGAAGCACCAGTGCTGGCGGCTTTTGCATCGCTATGACACTGAAAAAAAAAACATTTACGTTGGCTGAGCATGAGAACGGTGCACGAGTCAGACACATCAATAATAAAGGCATAGTTTTGAATGACAGGGATTCTGGTAACATTTTATAATGAGGTCTTATTTGACATTATGCAATGCATAAAAAACACTATAACAACGATCAATCCATTCTGAACATTTAATATTATTAACATTTGTAATTGTCAGTTCATTTAAAAATTCACTGCAAAAATAACAATGACATTTTATTTATGTTGTTGTCATTACAGTGTAGTTAATTATTTACCAATATCTGTAACATTAAATAATTACATGTTCTTTATGGTTATAATGCGGGATAGGTTTAGAATTATTTGTATGTAATTATGCATAATTAATTAGAGTTACTTTAGTTACTAAACAGAACATAAAAGGTACACCTTAAAATATAGTGTTACCAAAAATATATTAATAAATATTGACCGTAATATTAACTATGATAAATAATTTTTTTGATATTATTTGTTGTTAGTTTTTTGTGGCCCACACTGAATCTGCGCATGCAAAAATCTGCAGATTTTCAGCCCATCATTTATTTACTTGTGTAAATGTTTGTAAATGTATTATTAAATGTAATATTAAATGTAAATGTAATATTTAATCAGTTTTTTTAATTAGTTTTAGTAATATTATTGGCTAATGTGAAAATGTTCATTTGATTTATTTATAATACAGTTTGTAAAGTAATATTTCCTGTATTTTAGTAGATATGTGATGAGGGAGACTTGCTTTGTTTGCATAATAATTGGTTTTATATTGTAAACTTTAAATAAAAATTCAAAAACTAATTTGAATTTCTTATATTATGTTTTTATTTACAATACTCTGCAAAATTTTGCACAGGAATAGCAAAAGATGTCTGCATATTCTGTCTGACCCTAGCAATTATGTATTTATATAGTTAAAAAATTTTAAATGAAAATTGTTACTGAAATTTGATTTAATAAATGTATATACAATTGAAGTCAGAATTATTAGCCTCCCTGTTTATTCATTAATTCATTTTCTTGTCGGCTCAGTCCCTTTATTACTCTAAGGTCGCCACAGAGGAATGAACCGCCAACTTATCCAGCAAGTTTTTACGCAGCGGATGCCCTTCCAGCCGCAACCCATCTCTGGGAAACATCCACACACACTCATACACTATGGACAAATTAGCCTACCCAATTCACCTGTACCGCATGTTTTTGGACTGTGGGGGGAAACCAGAGCACCCGGAGGAAACCCACATGAACGCAGGGAGAACATGCAAACTCCACACAGAAACGCCAACTAGGCCGAGGATCGAACCAGCGACCCAGCGACCTTATTGCTGTGAGGCGACAGCACTACCTACTGCGCCACTGCTTCGCCCGCCTCCCTGTTTATCTTTCCCCAATTTCTTTTAACGGAGAGAAGATTCTTTCAGCAAATTTCTAAACATAATAGTTTTATCTATAGATATGAGATAAATAGTATCTTATTTCTAATAACTGATTTATTTTACTTTGCCATGATGACAGCAAATAATATTTGACTAGATATTTTTCAAGACAATTCTATTCAGCTAAAAGTGACATTTAAAGGCTTATTAGCTTAATTAGTTTAACTAGGCAGGTTAGGGTAATTAGGCAAGTTATTGTATAATGATGGTTTGTTCTGTAGACTATCAGGAAAAAATAGCTTAAAGGGGCTAATAATTTTAACCTTAACATGTTGTTTTTTTTATTTAAAACTGCTTTTATTCTAACAAAAAAACAAAAAAAAAACAAATCGGTCTTTCTCCAGAAGAAAAAAAATATTATCAGACATACTGTGTAAAATTCCTTGCTCTATTAAACATCATTTGGGAAATATTTAAAAAAAGACTAAAATTCAAAGGGGGTCTAATAATAATTTGGATTTCAACTGTATAAAATGCTTTTTTGTTCATATAAAAAATTTGTTTTATATGTAAAGTTGAAGAAAACAGACATATTGAACGACCAATTTAAAGAAAAGCATCAAATGTACAATATAAAATATATTTGGTTTTCTATTTGATGTTGTTTATTACATGTTGTTTTTTAAAGTAGTGGATAAAATATGAAAATAATATAGTTTCAGAGAACAGAAGATAATTCATACACATAACTTTTTATCAAAAAATCTTCAACATATAAATCTAGGAAACACACTTCTGTAACAAACATTTTGTCTAAAAACCTTACATTTACAGAAATATTGGCCTGTGTGACAACTAGCCAGGTCTTAGCTAGCATTATTTTGTTTCATAGTAGCTTTTAGTTTGCTCACATAACCCTGCAAGAGTCATCAAGCTAAAATCACAGTAAAATTCAACTGCAAATTTGTCAGAATCAACACAATTTACAAATACATCACAGCGCTGCATTAACTTCCTCAGTCGCTTCATTTTCTGAGCTGCAATATCTGTTTACGCTGCGTTTAAAATGTCCTTTTTTATAAAATGTTTAAGTGTGAATATAGCTTACATTTGGTGGTTCTCTTTGGCTTATTTCACAAGTGTGTCATTATTTATTAAGGAGCTTTATGTGCCAAATGTTTCTTGTCAGAGTTTCACCATCAGTGTGATTGCACCATCGAGAGAGCAGAGGAACTGAACCGTCTCATGTTTTTTTTAAACATCTAACCTTCACAGCTACTGCATTTTTAGTTGTTTGCTGATGCGCACATGCATACACTAATGAACTTCCTTTTTTATTCATTCAATTTAATTATATATGAACTGTAGTTTGTAATTTTGCACACAGTACAAATGCTAAGACTAGTAGCATTTGTCAATAACAGGAGAACAAACTCATTCAAAGGTTTGAAACAAGTAAAGGGTCAGTCAATGAGGACAGCATTTCTACTAAATAGCATGACTATTTTTTAAGTAATAACTAAAATTATTGATGGTTCCAAATAAATATCATTTTTCTTGCATTTTTACTATTCGTATTAGACAACTTGTTGTTGTTGTTGTTATTTTTATTATTACATTTTAATTATTATACTTATTTTGATTATCTGAGGCAGTACAAAGACTATGTCTATCTGTAATAAATATTTGCAATGTTTCTGTGACTGAAGAAGCATGAAATCTGCAGCTGCCATGATAACACATGACAGGAAATAAACAAATCTTCAAAAAAAAAAAAAAAAAAAACAGCGGAAACAATACTACTTTCAGTTGTGCATGGCAAGTTTTACAGTGGTTTTAAGAGTGGGCACCAGTAAATTCCTTTGTAATTAATTGTCAGTTTAAAAATAATTATAATCTGAGGAATATTTAAACGCAGCTTATATCAGTTCTGGCATTTTTTCTATTAGTTATGGAGCCTCACATTCAAAGATTTCACATTTAACATTAAAACAAATTCTTCTTACCTGCTATATATTTAAAGTCAGTATGAGTTTAGTATTTAGCATGTTGTTTTACAAAATATGGACATTTCAATTTATTGTAAATATAATAATTAGCTCCAGATATGCAAATGTCAAACACACATCGGTCCTTCTATGGAGATATATATATATTTTGTTTTATTTCATTCTTTTTTTAAAAGCAGTAGCCTAATTACCATATAGTATATACAGTAGATATAAAATCTGTATACATATCGATTTTTTAAACATGAAAGCAACTATCATAAAAACTATCATTCAACCATCCAAAAACTACTTTAATTTGCTTTTTTTTTTAAACAAGTTTTGTCATTCTGTCATAGTGCTGCTGCTCCTGTTTAAAATGAGTAAAAAAACAGATGCCCATACCTGGTTCTCGGTCGTGTTTCAGATAAAATACTGTACAGAACCTGTATGAGAAGAGATAGAGAGAAAGTGTCGTTTGGAGGAAGTGTTGAAGTCACATGGGACGTCAAACTCAAGATGTGCAAGCAGTAGTGCAAACATGAGGCTTCTGTACTTCCTGAGGCCTGCCATTACTTTTAAACAAGATGGACGCTGTAACAGAGATCTGTTACAGTAGATCAGCACTATAGACGTATTATGATGAACAGACTGATTTCTTGAAGAAGAATGCTTAAATTAGGTCTGCTTTTGGGGCAAATCATGATTTTTTTTCCAGACTAAAATATGAAATTGTATGGAGCTTATAATATGACATCTAGATAATGTTTATTGTGATATCTATAAACCATAAAATTACTGAGGTACTGCAATGTGGCTTACTTAATACAAAAAAAAAAAAAAATTTGTTCATAGTTTAAGTGACTAAGTGTTGAAATTTTAAATAAGTCCATATTTCTATGCAGTCTATAAAGACTGTTTTCATCTATCTTATAATATAGCAGATGACTGATCCTTTCCATTTCCAGGTTTGCTTTTAAATAGGTCTGTGGTGCACTGTGGTGCTTTTTCAAACAGGAAACAGTATAAAAAAAGCATGTGGTTTGAAGCCCCTTTCCCTTGTCATTTTAATTTTACACTAAAATAAAATGACTTAAAAATAAGATTAAATAAAAAATACAAATAAACTAAAAAGAAAAAGAAAAAAGCAAAAATGTAATAATAAAAATAAATGTATAATGTATAAAAATGTATAATTAAATATTTTTTAAATAACAGAAATAAATAAAATACTTTAAAAAAATAATAAAAATAAAATAAAAGCAGTGACCAATATGACAATGGTGCCCCCAGAGTGTCAAGTACATTATTTTAAAATAAAATGCAATTACCAAAATTATTATAGTATTGGTAGGTCTAAATATTTAACATCACCATCAAGTGGTCAGCACTATTTTGTCTCTGATTAACAATGTAGTACTAATGTACTAGAATGTAAATAACTTTTAAATAGTAATCCATATTATTTATCTATTTAAAGTAATATTATGCATGTTTTTTACTTAATTTTATCTGAACCCATTATCAAACTATTACTATTTATTTAAAGTTAAAATCGAACTGCAATAACATTTTCATGAGTAGAAATGTCATACTCGGCGCAGAGCACAATCAGGCCACTAGATGGAAATCTTAAGTTTATAGAAAAATAAAACATTTTTATGTATTCTAATATAAAATACATTATGCCATATCAGATTTATACTTTTAAACCATAGGTCAATAATCATTTCTCTGCATTTCTGCACCCATACTATGCAAGAGATATATTAACAAAAGCAAGATTTACCAGAGCTTACATTCGCCAGCATCCACGTGCAGTATTAAAATTAAGCCACTAGAGAGAGACAAAGACTCATTCAGCAAAAATGATTTTTGCAAATTTAAACGTGCCCAAGTAGGTATGTGTGATATTGTAGTAGGTATATTTTTTGATATTAGATTTTTATGTTAATGTTTTATTTTGTATTCTGTTTTTAAGGTCTACAATTTAATTTAAAAAAAATGTCGAGCTGACCCTATTAGGTTAGAGAATTATCAAAGAGATGCTGGTGTTAAGAGCAGAAACTTACACCTGTTATGTATGTGGTAGCCATTTTGCATCAGGGAAAATGTGATTTCTCATGGTTTGATTTGTGGGTGAAATGAGATACAGAAGGGTTTTGTGAGAGGTCTTGAAACAAAGCTTGAGTCAGCCTGAGCAGGTAGTAGTATGCTATATAAACATGCAGTAAAGAAGTACTGAACAATTTAATGAAAACGCAGCTAAATGAACAGGGTCTACACACTGCAAGCATCTTACGAAAATAAAGCAACAATTGTCAAAAAAAGGCACTGTTTTAGGATGATATAGTTGTATACTATGAGCACAACCTAGTTGCAGAAACTAAAACTTATAGAGTAATCTGACATCTAGCTGTTAGCCATCATTAGGTATCTCTTTTTGTCTGAGTAAAATTAAACAAATGCAAAAAAATAAAATAAAAAATATGATTAAAAAAAGTCTTAAAGTAAGTAAAATGATAGACTTACTATAGTCTAAAACAATGTTATATTTATTTTTTATTTTTATTTTTTATTTTTTGTTTTTATAGCGACATGGTGGCTCAGTGGTTAGCACTGTGACCTCACAGCAAGGTGGTCACTAGTTCAAGTACCGGCTGGGTCAGTTGACACTTTTTTGTGGAGTTTGCATGTTCTCCTCGTGTTCCTGTGGGTTTCCTTTGGGTCCAAAGACATGTGCTATAGATGGACTAAATTTTCTGTAGTGTATGAGTGTGTGTGAATGAGTGTGTATGGATGTTTTCCAGTGCTGGGTTGCAGCTGGAAGAGCATCCGCTGTGTATAACATATGCTAGATAAGTTGGCAGTTCATTCCTCTGTGGTGACCCCTGATTGATAAAGGGAAGAAGCCAAAAATGAATTATTATTTTTTGGTTTAATCAGTAATGAAGGAAAGAAATTAGTGATTGTAAATTTTGCACAATTTGTCGGAGAAAAAACCCACAGCACACAGATAAAATGATACTTTTTAACCAACCCCTGACAAGAGCTTATAAAAAATGGTGATGCTTTCACTTATCCTGAGTTTGTTTTTTATGTCATCCTCTTGTATCAGTTGGGAATCATAGTTTTAAGTAGGTTTTAAGGTTTTGTTGTTTGGCTTATTGATTGTAATCTGGGAAAGAAAAACAATATATATTTTTTTTATTTGAAGAAGTAACAGTACATATTTTATAACAATATGATTTGCAAAAAAAGTCCAAAAAAGGATAATACAATAAAATGTCATTGTAAATAAAGTCTGCAAGAACCAGATATTGCTGCAGACTTTTATTTAACTATGACGTCACATTTCCAACTGAAATGGAACATTGAATAATGGGCAAGGTTTTATTTTTTTTGTGCATCTTTCATAGCAAACTAATGCTTGGACATTTTTTATACAAGCTGTCAAATTATCAGACAAGGCAGAAAGGCTAGATTTAGATTAAAGATTACCAAAGCAATGGTGTCACGGGGGCACAATGGGTAGCATGATCGCAAGAAGGATGCTGGTTCGAGCCCCAGCTGGGTCAGTTGGCATTTCAGTGTGGAGTTTGCATGTTCTCCCCATGTTCGTATGGGTTTCCTCTGAGTGATCCGGTTTCCCCTACAGTCTGAAGACATGCAGTACAGGTGAACTGAATAAGCTAAATTGGCCATAGAGTATGAGTCTGAAAGCATGAGTGTTTGGGTGTTTCCCAATGTTGGGTTGCAGCTGGAAGAGCGTCTTCTGCGTAAAACATATGCTGGATAAGTTGACGGATCATTCTGCTTTGACGACCCCTGATGAAAAAAGGGGCTAAGCCGAAAATAAAATAAATGAATTACCAAAGCAAAGGTCATTTCTCTATTTCTCAAAGAATGCTGAGAACAAACTTGTATTCATGGAGACCAACCAGGTTACATTGCAGCAAATTTGTTGGTCACATGAACTTTTCACATTTAAAAAAGGAAACCAATTTCAACATTACAACATTCATGAAATGTTTTTTTTTAATTATTTTTATTTCAATCTATTTAACATATACACAGAAACAACAAAGATACTTTGCACAATAAAAAAAACATAAATTTATAACTTTATTAAAATATTTATGTGTTAAATTGTTTAATTTCGCTCATTATGTCTCATTTTCACACAGTGGGACTCTTCTGTGGTAGACAGGATAAATCTCTGAACTATATAAATAATGGCGGATAAAGAAGTGAAGCTCTTCCCTCTCCTTTATTTAACCACAATGACATTTGAGACTTTAAGCAAATACTACACTCAAGTCAATGCATCCTTAATATCAAGAGCACATCCGGGTTCTTCCACACATCCTCTGTGTACTTGCAGTCTTGAGTATTGGAGCTGAACTTTGATGATGACGTTATGGGAATAAGCAAGATCGCTTAAGAATTTATAATGAGAAACGGTCAAACTGTTATAAATAACGGTCAAACTGTTGTTGTTTTTTAGTGGGTTAACTTGCAGTATTTGTTCCCATTAACACTAACAATATACGCCTTCAAAATAAACATGGTCAATTTTGATTTCATGCAAACTGTAAAAGTATTAACAACAGATTATGCTTCCCTAAATTCACTTCAGTCATCTTTTCAAAGCCGATTCAAGACGGCCCTAAAGCGCATCTGTGTCTGCCTTGAATTCAGAGTATGTCGCATTCAGTGGTGGGAAAAGTTACTTTAGAATGTAATGCATTACAATATTGAGTTACTCCCCAAAAATGTTGCGCTACTTAGTTACCTTTTATGCTAAGTAATGCGATACGTTACTTTTGAGCTAGGGTTAGGGTTAGTTTGCTACTTTTGTACTTTTTGTCTCATTAAAAAGTAAAATCCCTGTCCATTTAGATAATTATCTTTTCCTTTTCTTCCATGTGTTTAAAATATTGAGAATATTCCCATCGCAGAAATGTAATCTTCCTTTTCTTTCTGTTCCTGCATTCTCTCATTGCTTGTGGGATTCAACGAGACTATGATCATTTTAATTCAGCAATTTATTTTTTAAAAGCAAATAAACAAATGTAAAAAGTAACTCAAATATTATTACTAACTTTTTAACAGTAATGCGTTATTTAAAAAGTAATATTATTAACTCAAGTTACTTGTAATGCGCCAACACTGGTCACATTAAAGGGTTTGTGTAAATACACATTTTTGAAAATGTATGCCGATTCAAGTTTGGTTTTTGTGCTGCCTTTGCTGTGTGTAAAGATGCCTTTATTCTGTGTTTTTTTATTCTTTTGTCCAGTTTTCTAAATACCTGAATACCAGTATTAATCACACTGGTAAACTCTTCCCCTTCAAAACCCGAAAGTGTGTCCATGATCTAATATTTCAGCACACAGTTAGACAGAGCGAGAATTAGAGCCAGGAATGTGCTGGAGTCCACAAACACTGTCAGCTTGTATTACGGCCGCAGGAGCGTCACCCTGAGCGAGGGTTAATCCACTGTTTACCAAACACACTCAATGTTTGCTCCGTCACTTCATCTTAAAGAGAGCCAATGGCTGGATAAAACTTAGGAGAAGAAAAAGGGCTCTTTTCTTGCACTTTAACAGTGAGGACAGGTGAGCGGCAACTTTAAGCTTCTATAAAAACAAGTGACTTTTGAGAAAGCCATGAGTAAATAGAAAGAGAGAGGTTTCAGAGAACACCTTTGGTCGTAAATGTTTGGAAAGGTGTTTGGGTCGAGGTTGAGGCCTGATGGTGTGGTCCGACCTCTTTCTGTGTCTCCATCGGGACATATGGACAG